GAAAGGTTTTGATAAATTTTATCATGTTTTGTTTTGGGGACCAATTCTGCAACATCCTTTAAAAGGATTTCTCTGATTTTGTTTTAAAAGCATAAATTAAATCGGTCTTTTCTGGCCGAGAAATTAGGGGATGCCCAGGTCGGGGTAACCCGGGAGTAGGAGATTGGTTTAGATAGCCAGCTCAGGAAGAGGAAGCGGACTTCTGGTCTGGCTCGACAATCTGGACAGTTAGACACTGCCGTAGCTGGTGTCAGAGACCCGAGGGGTTGAGATGGTTGTGCGAGGGATGAGGGGACTCGGGAGGATGTGCACAACAAGTTTAAGTGCGGCAAGTGTGGATTGAAGGGTAACAAACGCCAAGAATGCACATTAGGAGTAGAGTTATGCCATCGTTGTCATCAGCCTGGTCATGTCTAGGAAAATTGCCCCCGCTCAGTGGTTGGGGTAGCTCCGGTTTCATCCCAGGTACTTCAGCAGGAAGGGGGATTCGAGGTTTATTCAGATGAGGTCGCGGGTATGTATCTTTTGCTATTTTGGGTTCTATATGTATTTTATGGTTGTTATCTTGCATCGGTTTGGGTAAGTGTACCTTCAGTTATTTCTCTGCGTATGTTTGGGTTATATCTACAAGTAATGTCATATGCCAATTACATGCCGTGAATTATTAGTGGTTAGTGAAAAGTTGTTTTCCTTCTTGCGGGTTTGAAGTGTCCAGCGTTATCTTGGGTTGTGGTCGTGGATTGGTTCAGGGGTATTATGTGGAAGGTCTGCGGTCAAGGTTCAACGGGGTGGTTATCTAGCATTGTCGAGGTTCGGTGAGTTCGGTCTTTGTGCTTGGGTTGGCCTTTGGAATCTCCGAGGGAAGTGGTCTATTGCTGAGGTTTTGGCCGGAATGTCGGTTATTTGGAATTCAAGATTTGAGTGTGGTATCATTTCAAGGCATATGGGTTTATCAGTTTCGTGAGGATTCATGAAGTTTTCATCTGGTCTTTAGAGGTTGTGCGGTCTTTTGGGGTTTGGCTAGTGATGGAGCATTAGCATTGGTAAACGCCGATTATCAGCAGATCGGTCATTTGAAGGTAAGAAGGATTGGGAATCCTTTAATTCTCGCGCGTTGCGAGAAATTAGTCAAACCAAAGTGGGGAGAATCATTCAAATATTCAGGATCACAATTAAATATGAGTATCTTTGTATGTATGCCTGGGTGCCACCAGCTGTATTGTATTGTGTTGTTTTGTATGAAAACTCTTGTAAGAAATCCCTGGATATCACCAGTAGTTATGTATAGTAATGTACTTGTATAAAAACCTTTGTATGAAATCCCTGGATACCACCAGTAGTGTATAAAACTGTTTTGTATGAAAACCCTGGCTACCACCAGTAATGTATAGTATTGTTCTGTATGAAAACCCTGACTACCACCAGTAATGTATAGTAGTTTTATTACTTAAAATAAAACCATGTGTTTGTATTCCCTGGAATCCTCCAGTTGTATTGTATGGTAGTTCTATTAATTAAAATAAAACTATTTGAAGAATTGAAATCCCGTAAACAAATGGTTAGTTTATACTGTTGTGAGTTTGGTATAACCATGCTTGATATGACCTAGTGACCTATACGACGTTCTTCAGGCATCAGATGTTATGACATTTGTCACCCCAGACATGCCTGCCTAACTATAGCTAGCAGTTCAGGTGTGGGATTGTCAGTCCCGTATAGATCTATACACAAATCTCACGCTCTTCCTCCAGGAGACTCTGGTTATACTGTATATGATTTAGTTCTGTACCCTGGAGGATACAATTTGAAGTAGTGCCTCACAACCCTGTATTAACTAGTTTACGTGTAGTGTTGTAGTGTTCTCTTGTACTTGAAAATGTATGTATAACCTTGTAGTAATGTACTTTGTAATGTAAAATAATTATACTTAAATGATTATTTAGTAATACATCCCTTATACCCGGGAAATAGTATTGTGTTCCATAAACTATATCTACCATAGTTTATTTGTTTGTTTCTGAATAATGTTCTTGAACTAGTAAAACAGCGTAATGTATCCCGAACTATACCTATTATAGTTCGTATGTATGTTCTTGTTCGTGTATTGAAAACTTTTGTAATTTAGATGTATGTAGCAAAAACACCCTTATGCTCGACATGGTACAAAAGGATTAAAAATATCTAAATATTTTATGGAAATGTAGTGAAATCTCTGTTTGAATCAATTGCAATGGCTTTGAAAATGTTGTAAACGTTTGTATAAAACACAGAAATCCTTGTGTTTTACTTGTACCCCCCTAAAAACATTGAAAACAGTACAATGTAGGGTATGAACTCACAGTTAGTATGTGCTTGTAGCTGGATAGTGGACTGAAAAGATGACCCTCGAGTTGGCGTATGCAGAACTAACGGTATCCTAATAATATTTAAACACATAATTGTATTTAAATTAGAGAAACCATTAATTAAAGTGTTAGAAAACACTTGTTTTTGTGCTAGGAATAGTTACCGAAAATTGCACAAGTGTTGAAGGGTTTTCGGCCGAATACAGTTTTCGGTCCTGGGCGTTTTCAGTCCCTTGAAGATATGAAGGCTGGTTCTTGGTGTTCTTGGTTTTCTTGAGGAAAAATATGAAGATTCAAAGGATTGATCTTGAAGGTATGAATGTTCTTGGATGATACTTGAGAGAGAAATGAGAGTGTTTTTGGGTGAAATGAGTGAGAAATGATCAAGTTTTCGAGGAACAACCTTTATATCGGTTAGTTTTTCGGCCGGAAAGGAGTTCTCGGCCGAAATCTATTTTCGGCCGAAAACGAGTTGCTGAACGAGTTTTGGTGTTTTTGAGGGAAAAATCTTGATTTTTCGAGTGATATTGGTTCCGGAAACTTATATAAACTTAATTTATATATTTTAGTTTATTTTCTAACCCTCGCGAACTTAACGTAATAATAAAAGCTCAAATTTGTTTTTATCGAATTTGACTTTTATTGACTGGAAAAGTATCGGGTTTTCACATAAAGGCCTTGAAACACGTGAAGCATGACAAAGTGCAAAATACGCTCAGTGTGACGGATACCGAGCTTGTTCCAATTTAAGGGGAAAAAATTGACATTGAACTGGATAGTAATAATAAGAATGAAGAAAATTGTCATATAGTTTTTACTGGAGAACCCTTAAAAGGTTGGAAGGGTAGAATTGCTTGGAAGGATAGAAAAGCGAGGGAAGGATAGAAAAGTGATTTCTCTCTCATAGGAAGGATAACTTTATGGAAGGTTAGAAAAGTTTTCTCCTTCACCGGTAGTTTTTTTTTATTAAAAAATTGTACGGTACAATTGTTTAAAGCTTTCCTGGGTACAACTCTTTAAGCTTTTTTCCTAATTGTCTGTCAGAAAAGCAAGTGGGTATTGTCTTTGTTTGTTATTTATTAGTAGACTAGGTAGACATGTACCAGTTTTTAAGGGATGTGTATTGATCTCCTTTAGATTAATTTTATTATTATATTACTCAAATTAGGCTATAAATATGTGTGGTGGTCAGCCACTTCTTGTAATCCTATTGTAACCGGTCTATTTCGTTTTCAATAAAAGACTCAGCTTTAAGCTTGTAAAAGACTTTTATCTCTTTTATTTCTTATGTCTCTTTGCATTTTTTCCGGCTCACACGTTTGAAAAATATTTATCTTTAATATTGCATACCAATTAAATCTTTATTTCCCAACAGATGCATCCTTGAAGGATGTGATTCTTTCGTTGCTGGCGTGCTTGACAGGAAAAGTGAGAAAAAGAAAATGGAAGATGTAGAAAGTGGTTTGGGTATGTCCTGAAGTTTTTCCCAAAAACTTACTCGGTTTTCCACTAGTGAACAAATATGAATTTTGAATTAACTATATATAAGGTGCAACTCCCATTGCTCGAGCACCTTACTAACTTGACCCTACCGAAATGCAAGAACTTATGTCTCAACTTCAAGAAGTCCTTAACAAAGGGTTCATTTCTCCTATGTTCGTCTCCATGGTCAACTAAGGTCCCAATTGGGCCAAGACTATGACTCTGATACCGTATGAATGAACTAAAAATCCATAAATAAATATAACATTTGATAATGAGTATTAACCCTCAACTTATATACATAGAGATTACCTAATTAGGTAACTAGATAAAAGTCACATCAAGAACCATTAAAGCCCTATCATGTTACTATCTTAAACACTTATTTGAACAGTTGAATTCATGGAATCCATGATTACAATGTGGAAAGGGGAAAACTAAAGCAAGTAATGAAGGGGATGAATAGAAGTGTCCACAATTAATTTTACATCATACATAATCACATGCTTTCTATCTAGCATACAATAGTGTTATCATATATTCCTCTTGTGATGAAACTGACACAACTTCAGGGTAACTGTCTTCACTGAAAAAAGCTGGGTTTTTAGGTGAAGGCAGTGTAATCTCATTAATCAACATCAAAACAATTGATAACATAGTGGGCCTATCTTCGACATGATGTTGCACGCACAATAACCCAACATGTATTGATCGTAAAACTTCAGGGACCACACATGAGTTGCGTAAAGATGCACACATGACTTCAATGGAATTGTCTTCTCTATAGAGTCTCCATGCCTTTATGAAACCAAACTTATATAATTTTGCTAAAGGGTGATGTTAAAGAAAACACTAGTTTTTGCTCCAGATGGTGAGGAATAATTTACCAATTTAACTTACATGTCCAAGAAGATTATCACTATGACCTTCATGAGAGAACCCTCTGTTTTTCTTTCCACACACTATCTCCAACATAATTACACCAAAGCTAAATACATCTGACTTTATTGAGAAACGTCCATGTATTGCATACTCGGGAGGAATGTAACCACAGCAACCAAGTTGAACTATTAAACATATAGGAAACAAAGTATTGTGTTTGTTTGTATTTTTCCCTTTTTTTGGGGCAAGACATGGTGAAAAAATCTATGGGGCCATGTTTAAAAATTCTTACTATGTTCTGACCACCTTCTTTGTTCTAGCCATGCCATCCTGTCCAACAAACTTTCGAGCAAGGCCAAAGTCAGATATTTTTGGATTCATTTCGCTGTCCAACAAGATATTAGCTGCCTTGAGATCTCTATGGATAATTTGGAGGCGGGAGTCTTGATGTAGATAAAGAATACCACGAGCTATACCATGGATAATGCCAAAACGTTGAGGCCAATCAAGTATTGAACTTCTAATTTCATCTGCTCAATATAAATTATTTAGCACATGCATATCCAACAAACTTGATATCGATGTTACAAATATGAAGTGAGAAGTATAGAGAATCAAACCAAATAGAAATGAGTCCAAGCTTTTGTTATCCATGTATTCATAAATCAGAATTTTTTCATTTCCATGAATGCAGTATCCAAGGAGCTTCACAAGATTGCGATGTTGAAGTTTGGCAATACAAATGACCTCATTCTTGAATTCATCAAGCCCCTGGCTGGATGTTTTTGAGAGTCGCTTTATAGCTATTACTTGTCCGTTTTTCAATAAACCCTAAAAGAAACAAGGTTGGAATTCAAGATCCTGATATTACTGTACATCTTATATCAGGATTCCATTCTTGATACTGATACATATTACATATTATTCGAAAGCATCAATGAGTTACCTTGTAAACTGGACCAAAACCACATTCTCCAATCTTTGTCAATGTTGAAGTTATCGGTAGACATAGAGATTTCATGCATGCTAAAAGAAGGTAACTCGTCAATGTTTTCGCTCTGAAGGCTGGAATGATCCTTATGAGCGTTATGTGCACGGTTTCCTACAATATCATATAATCATTTCCAAGTTCTCTTCATTTCACGAATCTGCCAAAAATCATACTCATACAAAGTTGTAATTGGCAAGGTTTCATTTCTAGAAACATAGAAAATGACTTGTGTTACCTCGTCCTTTCTTTTGGCGCCCTTTCCTTTTCTTTTTAAAGGCATACACTATTGTAGATAGAAGCAGTACAGTTGACAAAACTGACAACACCAAAGTAAGTATTCTCTTCTTCTTGTTAAAGCTTGATTGGCCTTTCGTTAATGAATACAATAATCAGTTTGTTTGCAATCAAAAGACAATCGGTTGAATCATTCAAAACCAAATACATTCAGACATGTAGCATATGACTATGATAAACAGTGTATTTTTATTATTATCAGAAGATCACATGAAAATCCACAAAAGTTGACGAACATGAACCATTCCAGTTGTGTTTGTATGTGTGTCTATATATATATATATATATATATATATATATATATATATATATATGACACAAAAATGCTTTACCGTATAAATGACACAAAACTGGCTGATTCATACGATGCGGTAGATGACACACATTATTATTTTCTTCATTATCTTTCCGGAAATATGGGAAAGTTTGGTCAATGATATCCAACTTTTTCCGTTTTCTAAGAAATCTCATTCAAATCTTTATCCTATGTATGCAGAATAGGTTTAGACAATAGAAGATATAACTAGAAATAATAAAGATACATAAATGTTAATATCCATAGTTGATGAACTACTTTTACTATTAATGTTAGATGACAAGTTTCTAGGTTTCTAGTGCTATAAAGTTCATGTTCGTTTGTTTTCGAACAAAAAAACGAACACCAATGGATAAACAAACATATTTTCTTTTTCATGTTTGTTCATTTAACAACTTACATTGTTCATGTTTTTTTGTTTATGTTCGTGAACAATGAAAATAAACGAACATAGATGAATAAACACAATTGAACATATATAAACATAAACGAAATATAATATAGTAAAGTAATAAAAAACAATTAAACATTTATGAACATAAATAAATTTAAACAAATGAAATACACAAATAACATAAACAAATGTTCAACAACATAAATAAACGTACCATTGTTCAATTTAATTCCTTTAACTAAACAAACGGTAATTTGTGTTCATATTTATTTATTTATTTAATAAACCAATGGAAAGTTCATTGATGTTGGGTTCATATACATCCCTAGGTTTATGCACACTATGTACTTTAACTACTTACGCTAATTTAAGTGAAACATTTAAGGGGCTCAAGTCATTTGGCTGTTAATATAAATCAAATTGTGTATACCTGATAACTCGGTGGTTGCCATTCTTATATAAAGATGTTGATTTTCATCATACTGTCTCATGTCCATTAGTTCGCCGAACCATATCAAACATCCACTTCCTCCGTTTCTGATATCTAAATTTGCATACGCTGTACAAGAGCAATTCTTCATGCAAGCCATCTCACATTCTCCAAGGGACATGCTCAGGTTGTACCATGAACGTCTTGTGTCTGGAAACTTGACACCTGAAATTTTCTGGAAGCCACGATCCCCACCAATCCCACAATCCAAAGGCTTTTTACGTTGACACCCACTCGACCAATCTCCTGCATTCCATTCTTCAGGGACTTTTACTTCAAAACCTTCCATACAACTGCAAGGGGGAGATCTAATGTGAGCACAGATACCATAAGGACCACATGGTCCATAACGACTACAGCTATCAACTACTATATTCTGATACGTGACCCATTCCTGTGTTCGCTCGATCCAATTCAACTGCAGTAAGATGCCATCCCACATCACGATTATCCTTTGAATAACTGAACTCTTAAGTTTATATCTGTAATACAATTCGTTCTGGTTGACAACAAACTCTACGGAGTAAATTGGATTCGTGTTTTCGATAGGAAGGCCACGGAACCCAAGACCATTCCATGGTCCAAGCCTGGAGTGTTCAACAGAACCTTTTCGCTCAAATATTTGTGGATATCCATTTGTGTCTAACCAGTATTTATACACACCTATAGAAGGATCATCAGGGCTCTTCCATGATGTTAAATACCTCTCTCTTTTTTTTATCAAATCCTTCCCTAGTTTCATTCCTGGTAGCAACGTGTTACCAGGATAGTCGAAGCTTTGCCAGATGGGATTTTCTTTGGTGCTATTTTCATCCCACACCACAAGATTTCCGCTGTCCAGAAGCTGTGCCACGGGATTAATTACATTGACAGATGCCACCGAATTGGATGACCAGATCACGGTATTAGTATAATTACCACCACTGAGAATCAGCAGGGTTCCTTCTCTACTGAGTTCAAACACGCCAGATGCAATGCTGATTGGCGTTTCCCTGTTAGCAACCCACACGATCGTACAAGTTGAGATCTTCTTGTACCATATCCCGAGGTAACGATTCGTGGACTTTCTGGGGCTAAAAAACCCCAGCTCGTACGTCTCACCATCTGAAACAATGGTGCTGCCATCTTTGATTGGTTGATTTGCAGATATGGTATCTACTGCAGCAGAACATGACAAGAAAAAGAATATGGTACCGGATAATAAGACAAGGGTAGGATATACCTCCATTAATTGACGTGTGTTAAAAATGGTGGGTGTGGGAGACTTAGATGTGTAGATTGTGAAATTCTTGCTGGTTAATTTTTGAATTTAGCGAGTATACTGGTATGCATCAGATTATACATTCTAGCTAATGGTCATATGTATCTAAGAGAGGAACTTGATTCCCATGTTGACTAGCACATGATGACTTGAAATATGAGTACTCCTGTAAAAAATCAATTTCAAAGACTATTTGACTTTAATTGAAAGGACATCTATTCTCATTTGTCCGATATGTTTATTATAAAATTTACCACTAAATATGTCATATAGTTTTAATATGTAAAATGCTTTAACTTTATTATTATAGATCATGGCCCAATCACCAAAGGGCTTCTAGCCTAGCGGTATCAGGTGGTGTCCTCCCTCCTTGAGGTTGAGAGTTCAAGTCTCGTTGGAGATATAGGTGGATTTAAGAGTGATATATAGTAATCTAGATTAGATTTGCCGTTAAAAAAAAAAAATAGGTGGATTTAGGAGTGATATATAGTAATCTAGATTAGATTTGCCGTTAAAAAAAAAAAATTCATGGGCCAATCATGCTATTAAATATTTGGGTATTTCTAAATCACTAATGCAATTCTAAGTCAACGACTAATCATGATGATATAATAAGGTTTATGAAATGATAAGTCTTTATTTTATTTTTTCATAATAAATAGATGGTTTGTTGTTGTATGATGATGCTGATGGTTCACTAGATTTTGTTTCAGTTTCTTTATAATAAATCATGATGGTGTGCCATGCCCGTTACTTTAATGCATCTCCAATAAATTAATGTTACGACTTAAAACTATGGTTGCATCATATTTCCACCAATTTTAACCAATAATTAAGTATATTCTTAAATGATTAACTTCACTCAATGGCCTTTTTTTTATAAATTTAACTAATTATAATTTACTCTCGCTTATTTAAAATATATACAAAACCCATCATTAAATCGTTATAATTATAAAAATAAAAAGAATTGAACATATTATATAATCGTTACAAATTTTATAAATGAAATATTATTAAATAAATGATAGAATTAAATAATTAGTAAAAGAAATAGAAATATTAAAACTAATTATAATTAAGAAGGTAAATTAAAATATAATTTAGGGAGAAGAAGTTAGAGCATATGTGAGTTTTTTCATAGCTTTTTCATTTTCAAAAAGTTGTCTTCCTATTCTGGAAGCCTTTCACCCCCAGCTTTTTACGAATCTTGTTAATTAACAAGCTCTTCATTGAGCTTCTTCAACTATTACGGTGGACCTCATATATATTAAAATAAATATAATTAGCGAACTTATATAAAAAAGAAAAAATAATAGTATAAATAACTTTGATGTATCACATATAAAAACCCTCTTCTATTCTATTATAGGTATATTTAAGCTTTGTTGTTTGGGGATGTGGCAATGACATGAAATAGATAAATAAATAAATAAATAAACTCTGCGAAAAAGCTCTTCTATTTCGGAACTCTTACATGTACAAAACTCTACAAAACGTAAAAATAAATTGGTCACTCAATATATGTATATATTGAGTACTTATTAGTTATTACCTACACATTTACCTTTTAATCATCATCACCAACATGCACTTCCTTTTTTTTCTTCTTTCTTTTTTTTTCTTTTTTTTTCTTTTTTAATTTTTTTTTTAATTTTTTTTTTAATTTTTTTTATAGCAAGTTCCACTTACACAAAACTATCATTGACTTTAAGGTCACTATGTTCATTATCTTTCCTCTAAAATGATATACAAAGTGGTTAACCAACTAAATTAAAGTTATATATAAACTGGATAACAAACTAAAAGTTAGATACTTGTTAATCGGAAAAAGTGTCCCATTTATTTTTTATTTCTATGAATTTTCTTATTGTATTTGGATCCTTTTTGATATTTTTTTATGATGCTTTGTTATGTTTACTCCATTTGGATACACTGTATTTTATAGACTTTCCAGCTATGCTTATCATTGTTGGAACTTGTCCAATCTCATAATAAAATTAACAAAGTCTTTTTTGCGTTGCCCTCAAAAGCTAAAATAGATAGAAAAGAATTTGAGAGACTAAGATAAATAGTTTATTAATTTATCATATACCCGCTCAATTTCTACATTCTACAAGAGCGTACCATTTGATGTAGGTGAACTATATAAGAGGCAATCTCATTCCTTATCTCCGACTGGTAATGCTCACTTACAACAAATGAAAAATGGTTGCTTATAACTAGGTAAAAGTAGTTAAATGGTCGGATGAAACATTAAATTTTCAATATATCAGTTTCATACCTTCTTACTATCTAAATATTATTAATTCCCTCCAACACTGAAGGATTAATAATGATGTCCAATTTTCCTTTATTTTTGTAGTGGTGTTGATTATGATGGCCTGTGCGGAATTAAGAATGATTTAGTGAATCATCAAGTAAAATCAAGAACATGAACATAAGATCTAAATA